ACAAGGGGACATCCAAAACACCCAGAATTTATTAATTAAAAATTGTGTATTTATTATTATATGTTTAAACTTTAATCACCTTCAAAGTACTCTCTATTTGATGCAATACATCTATGGAGACTTTTTTTCCACTGCTTAAAACAGTTTTTGAATTCATCAATTTTGGTGCCTTTTAGTGTTTCTGCCATTTTTTGTTTTACCACTTTCACGTCGGCAAAATGTTTTTCTTTGAGGACTTTTTTTCATCTGGGAAAACAAAAACACATCACTTGGGGTGAGAACAAGTGGGGCACAGGGGTCATGTTGTTTTTGGTCAAAAACATGCATGAGGTGTGGGCAGGTATATTTGTAAATCACCCATCATGAAATGGGCAAATGCACCGAAAGAGTCTTGAAAAAAAATGCAGTGAATCCAAACGCAGCCTCTCACAACAATGTCAGCTAGTACATTGATAAAGATGGGCTCCTAGAATACTCACCCAGTGGGGGAAGCCCATACAACGGGCCCGCCCTCCAGAAGATAATTCTGGTTTTTCTGGGTCTCCCCCATGGATATACCCATGTTCTCTTTACCCAGTTTCCCACTATAGTAAATTTTTTAAAAACTATAGTACAACATTACAACCAGTTTAATGACATTGATACAATCAATACAGTTAAGATTTTCACTACCCAGGTTATATCACTATAGTCACATCTACTCCCTTCTTCCCCACTGACATCCATCCATCTGAAAATCATTCTCTTCTCCATTTGTATAATTTTGACATTTCAAGAATGTTACACAGGGTGGGCAAAAGGTTTGCCATTGTGAGTGCATGAAACATAGAGTTTATTTTGTATTGTTATTTGTTAATTATTGTATTATTTTCTATATGAACAACTGTAAACCTACTTTTGCCCTACACCATGTAAATGGAATTATGCATATGTAACCTTTTGGGCTTGGCTTTTTCACATAGTGTACTTCTTCGGAGATCCATTAGGTTATTGCATCTGTCGATACTCTGCTCCTCTTTATAGCTGAGTAGCATTCCATGGCATGGATGTACCACTGTGTGTTTAACCATTTGCCCATTTAAGATATATAGGTTGTTTATAATTTTTTTAGATCAAATAAATCTGCTCTGAACATTTATCCATTGGTTTTTGCATGAATATAAGCTTTAATTTCTTCAGGATAAATGCCCAAGAGTGCAATTTCTTGGTAGTATGTGTTGCATGTTTAGTTTTAACAAGCTGCCAAATTGTTGTCTAGAGTGGCTGTACCAGCATCCATTTCCACCAGCAGTGAACGAGTGGTCCAGTTTCTTTGCATTTGGTGGTATTATGATTTTCTACCGTAATCTTTCTGATAAGCGTGTAGTGATATTTCATTGTGGTTTTACTTTGTGTGTACCTAATGGTTAATGATGTTAGACATCTTTTCACGTGCTTATTTACAATGTGAATCACCTAAGGTAAAAGATCTTTTGCCCATTTTCTAACTGCATTGCATGCTTTTTTACTATTGAGTTTTGAAAAAATATTCTAAATACTAGTCCTCTGTCAAACGTGTGGTTTGCAGACATTTTCTCCCAATCTATGGCTTGTTTTTCATCCTATTACCAGGCTTTTCACAATGCAAAAGTTTTTAATTTTAACGAAGTCTTATTTATCAGTTTTTCTTTTTTTCATGCTTCTGGTGTCAGGTTTAAGAACTCCTTGCCTAGCCCTAAAATCTAGAAGATTTTCTCTATGTTTTTTTCTAAAAGTTTTATAGATTTACATTTCAGTAAAACATAAGTCTGTGATTCATTTTGAGCTAATGAGGCCTAGGTCAAGGTTTTTTGTTTGTTTGTTTTTTGCCCATGGGTGTCCATTGCTCCAGCACTATTTGCTGAAAAGGCCGTCTTTCCTTCCTTGAATTGCCTTACCAACTCTGTCAAGTATCAGTTGGGTATATTTGTGGAGGCTGATTTCTGGGTTTGCTCTTCTTGTATATTTTTTTAACCGCACAGTTAGTGAATAAAATTCACTGAATGTTCAGTGCTAAATTTTACTGACTTCAATTTGTTATCAGTGGAAAACAAGTTCTTGCCATGACTCGAAGAAGAGAATTTCCTGAGAACTGCATGGGAGGATGGGGCTCTGATGGATGGTTTATTGATAATGTAAAATTAAGAGGGTTCCCCTCCTGACTTCCCAGTACCCTATATCTCTCCATCTGGCCATCAAAAAAGTCCAACTGTGTCCTCACCAAGGCCAAGACAAAAGCCAGCGTCCAGAGTTTCTGCGCCATATTGAAGTCCAGCCCAGTCCAGCACCTGGCTAGCTTAGCGTGTGTCTCCAGCTGCCGTCCATTGTTGTTCTGCAGTGTGCAGGCTCTCTCCTGCAGCCTGTGTGGAATCCTACGGCCATGGGCTATGCGACTGCTAGGGCCACATGGCCATGAAGAAAACAGGTACATACACCATGAGAGTGCAGGTCCTGAGCAACAGAGAGAGCTTAGTCCTTTTGGAGCTGGTGCCATCTGCTGCAGGCTGGGTAACTTGCCATGGTCACATGCTCCCGGGCAAGAGAGCACACGAATGACCTGGGGAGTGCATCACTGTGTGGGGGTTGCTGGGGAGAGAGAGGGAGAGGAGAGAGAGAGAATGAGCGAGCGCTCCTTCGTTTCCCTGGGGTAATATCAGCTTGGACTTGGGAAGGGCCAGTTGCAATTTCTTTTCTTTTTTTAAGTATAGTTGGCATTTTTTAAAGAAAGATCCCATGTGTTTATTTTTTTAGGGAGAGGGGAATGGAGGGAGAAAGAGAGGAAGAGAAACACTGACCAGTTGCCTCTCACATGTGCCCTGACTGGGCACCAAACATACAACCCAGGCATGTGCCCTGACCAGGAATCAAACCTGTGATCTTATGCTTTGCGGAACAGTGCCCAACTGAGAGCCACATTAGTCAGGGCTTAGGTGCTTTTCCAAAAGAACCAATCAACTTGCCAAGCTTTCGAGGACTTTGGATGGGTTTACACCCCCTAGTTAGACCGACAGACCTCTATGGTCCAGCACCACCCCCTGTCTCCCGCAGCGGTTTGGTTCTGGAGGAGGGAGCGCAGGAGTGTTGCTCCCCTTGGTGGAGCAGTGCTGGGGTCCCCTGGTAGCTTCCTGGTGGATCAAACAGGCATATGCTTCCCCATTTATTAAACTCAATGTCTGAATCCCTTTGCTCCCTTTCTCCATTAATAATTAGTTAAATATCAAGGTAACAAATTCACTCAGTGAGCCATCCATTTGTTCATCCTTTCAAGATACATTTACTGAACGTCCACTCTGGACCAGAAGTTGTCAACATGGACCATTACTTTCGCAGATACTGCTCTTCTCTTTCAGTCCTCTGATAGTGCACTTGTTTCCTGTGGCTGCTGTAGCAAATTAGCATGAACTGCATGGCTTAAAACATCAGAAATTTGTTCTCACACAGTTCTGGAGGGCAGAGTTCTGAGATTAGTGTCACTGAGTGAAAGCCAAGTTGTCAGCAGGGCTCTCAGGGAGCACCTTTTCCTGGCCTCTTCCCACTTCTGCCGCGGTCAGCATTCTGGACTAGTGGCGGCGTCGCTCCAATCTCCGCTCTGCGGTCAGACTGCCTTCTGTTCTGTCTGTCTGCTCCTCTGAGTATCTTCTGAGGACACTTCCTCCTGGGCTAGTAGCCTATTTGTGTAATCCAGAATGATCTCTTCATCTCAAGATCCTTTTTCAAATTAAGACCCCAATGCAGGTTCTAGGCTTAGGGCATAGACATATTTTACGGGGTAGCAGGGGCACCATTCTCGACCTACCAGAAGTAGTGATTTTATATGCAACTTTAATTTCCTTTTCTTGATCTTCTCCCCATCTTAGCCTGTGTCCATTATTTCAGTCCTTTATTTTCTTGATTCATCTTTTAAAGTGTTTGCTTAGAGAGGATGATGCTAGTGGGATGTTGTCCTGGCTTGTTGTTCATAGCCTATTACTGCAGCAGCTTTCTCCATAGCAGGGCAGCTCTGCTGAGGATCAGAATGTGCTTCTACTACCAGAACTTAGAAAGCCGAAGCAAATAAATGTAATACTAAAAAATCTTTAAAAACCATAATAAAGTCTTATGTATATATAATAATGATGGTTCCATTTGAAGAGTTTTCTAAAAATTATTTAAATTAAGATAAATAAATATGGCATCAGTGATTAGCATTTAAATTGGTATCAGGATACCAGTGCTACATTTACTGGCATCTTTTATATGTTTATTTCAAGTGCTTGGACATCTTATGTCACTTAGCTTGTGTTTTAAAAACAAAGAATTTTTTATATAGAACAGTTTTTCTCAGAAGAATCTGAACACCTTTTCTAAGGTATTTAGACCACTAGAGTATCACTGAGGTTATTTTGGTAAAGCTTTAGTGACCTAATGAATAATATGTCAAGAAGTACTATTTAAATATGCCCTACTGACCTTTAAGAATATTGAGTATTGCTTTAAGAAGTTTCTGGCAACTCACTGAGTCTGTTTAGGGCCACAGGTCATTTCATCATACCAGAAGCAAGTTGTGTGATTCTGTTATAGTGGATTTTGTCACTGTCCCTGCTGTTGTTATGACTATTAATAGTTTACTGGAATGAAAATTTGCCATATATATTTCTAAAAAGTACAGCAAATTAGCAGGTCACAGGAAAAAATGAGGTAGAATTTTAAAGTAAGTATTCAATAATCTGAAAGACTTTTAGACTTAAGACATGTATGTAGATAATCTTGTTTTTAGCATTAGCATAATTAATATATTCATGCACTTATAAGATTTACTTAATGAAATTTCAGTTCTGGCTTTATATTTATATCTAAATGATATTTTTAAAGTTTACAACTTTTCAAAGTTTGAGTGTTTGTCATGAAAAGCAGTTGTTTTCAAATGATTCTCTACTTGTGTAGTCATAAACCAGGAATTCAGCTTATAATTACACACTTAAAATTTGTCTTTTCTTTGTAAGTGCTGGTCAAGATATCCAGGGAACAAGTGTGATTGCAAATCTTCCATTTTTGATGCGACAGAATCCTGCTGAAACACTTCGGAGAGTCTTGCCAAAAGTTAGAGTAAGTTGGTGCAAAATAAGATTTGAATTTACCCTTTTTTTCCCTCCAGTAGCATGTTATCATCAGGAGAAAATTTCAGAGCTTTTGATGGCTGATCTTTTGTACTTACTCATTGAGAGGAGGGAGGATTTGGGGACACATTTTGAACTGTGATGAAAATATTTAAAGAAATTAGCTGATAGAAATGGAGAAGAAATCTTAAATTGTAAAGATTTCTTTAGTCATTTTCTGAGCAGAGACTTTCTAATAAAGTTAGCTTTTCAGTAGCTCAAAAAACTCTTAAATAGCCTTACAAAACCATAGCTGTCTTATTTGGTGTTCTATTGACTTAAATTTATAAGAATAGTATTCTACACCATTGACACTATACAGTTTTATGTATATTCCTAGTAATAGCCCTGTGGTGTGACATCTAAAGAATCATCAAATAAAGACTGAATTGTGGCCATCACAATTTTAGTTTTATGTTTATTTTATTGCTTCCTAGATTCTTCAGAATTAGTTTTTTTGCCATTAACAAAAATATTTGATCTACTAGAACATTCTCTCCTCTATTTAATATTTGATTATTAGTATATAATGTTAAATATTTAATACATAGTATTTATTAGTTATTTGTACCCATGTGCAAAGCAGTGTTCTTAAGAACTTGAATGAACAAAACAGACAACAACTGTATCCTTAGGGAACTTACCTACTAGTGGGGATTATGTTTGTTAATAGTTTTGTGTACTTTTCTTTGGTTTTCTGTTTGGTTATAACTTTTTCATAACTTTTAGAGTAATATGTGTTTAAGATGCCGTAATTATTAGTGCGTCCTTGAGTTTTATTTCTAGGCACCTATAGCATGGTTTCAGTTACTGTGATTTAGTTTTCTGTTATTTTTACAAGACAGCTACTTCTGTGCAGGCAATATGAGGGTTTTCTTTTTTTTTTTGCTAGTTGCAGCAGTGAATTGAGATGTTTGTTTTAGCATTGTATGTGGTTCAAAAGTGAATCAAACTTTTTCATATCTGTTGTCCCAGATTCATGCTATAATTTAAATGGAATTAAGTTTATACAGTGTAGGTTTTTAATTTTACATTCAGCTTCAGTGATGCTAACTAACCTGGCTTGTCAGCATTAACACCTCCAAGTGCCAGTTAAATGTTAGAAGGCAACAAGTAGTTAGGTGCTTTTAAGAGTTATTCTATGCAAGCGAATTAGATTTAAAGCTAAAAATACTGAGCGTACTACACACATGTGTTGAGCAGGCTAAGTCTGGTCCACAGATAGCATCCTGGATGACCAGAGTTTCATAAAGTAAAAAAAAAAGATGAAGAATAGAGATAGTGACCTTTAGGTCTCTAGATTATTTTGAAAAAATTATTTTGCTAATGAGGTTTCAATAAAGTTTATTAAATAATAATGCCCCCCCCAAATCTTAATTTCATAAGAATGTGTAAACAATAATATATACTATATATACTGTACATGCTATATAACTGAGTTATAAAGATGATTTTAATAACCTTTAAGTAATAAAAAATTAATCCATAATATAGAAAATTAACTGGATGAAGAGTTACAGTGCTATAAAGAAAATGTGTACTAGTGAGTATGTATTAAGAAAAACCTTTATTTGATGAAATGATTTCATTCATTTCTTGAGTTAATCATCAAGCATACAAAAAAGATGAAATGAGTCCCAGATTCGATTCCATGCCAGGTAGGCCTAAAACCTACAGGAAACAATTGAAGAACAGGCATAGCAGACTTGTGATTCTGGCTTTATGTAAAAATGCTAAAGAATTAAGCAACTCGGTAAGACTTTATGGAGACAATAATAGTGATTTTTGTAGAGGGTTCACTATATAATATAGGCAGCTAAACGTGTAAACAACCCCATGTCAAATTGTAAAACCTATGTGATGTGTAAATCATTTTTAAATCATTGTGTTCATACATTGTTAAGATGTCTTTGTACTTGAAGTCAGCACCTTCCTGAATTCTGCTGTGCTTCTGTGAGTGATTATTTTCAAATGATAAAACAATGACAAAAGTCACACATAGCCACTGTATTCACTTTTGGCACAGTCATAATTTCTTAATTTTACAAAAAAGAAATCTTGTAGTGCAAGTGAGCATTTATTTAGTAATAATGGTGTTTTTGTCCATATGTAAATGTTTACTGAATACCTCCCAGTTCCCAGCACTGTTCTGGGCATTGAGAAAATATAGTGATCCAAATAGAGAACTTGCATTCAAGGATGTGGCAGTCCAGAGGAGAAACAGACAAAAAACGAGTGAGTGTGTGTAATGATCAGGATAAAGTGACAGGGGGAACATTGGAAGGTCAAGGAAAGCCTTTTTCTGGAGCTAATAACTGACAGGCTAGGAGGAAGCAGACATTAGAAGGGTCGGGAATGAGTGTGGAGGCAGAGAGAGCAGCACAGTGCCCCTAAATTAAAAGAGCTTTGTAGAATTGAGAGACACATGTTTGGTTGGGGCCTGGTGCGTCTGGGGAGGGTGTGTGGCTTAAGAAGACGGTAGAGTGATGGTCAGTGACAGAGCACGTAAGAGCCTTGCTTTTCTAGGGTGGTGGGAAACCACTGAAGGCTGAAGCTGAGCTGTGACCTTTCCTTTCCATTTACATTCATCGTTTTGATAATTGTGTGCAGAGTAGATTGGAGTGGGAGAACTAGGAAACCACAGCACTGGCCTTTGTGATGTTCGAAGGTGGCTAGGATTAGGACAGCTAATTTGAGACAGCAAGAGGAGCGGCATCCATCTGAGATGTGTTTATCGAGGTGGAATGAACAAAACTTCCCAGGGGGTGGGATGTGGCAAGTGAGCGTCAACTTCCAGGGTCCAGGCTTGAGCGTCTGTACGGTTCTGCTGGTTTTGAGCATTTTGATGACTAGTTTGTTAAACCCATGGAGAAGAATAATTTGATTAGTACTTACCAATCATTGCTGATTATTCTGTGAGTGATATGAACAATAAGTGTTTTTTGTAAGAAACTAATCATTCCCAAGATTCTTATCATGTCTATGATAGTAATATAAGTAACTTCTAGAACTCACCCTTTACCTTAAAGAACACCAGATGAAATTTTACCCATGATAATTTTATTTTTTTGTTTTATTGCATTTGTGTTTCATGCTTACAATAAGGTGTTAAGTAAAAAATGGTTTTTTAAATAGGCTACTATTTGCCCTGGCTGGGTGACTCAGTTGGTTGGAGCATCATCCCATACACCAAAAGGTTGTGGGTTTGATTCCCGGGCAGGGCACATAATGTAGGTTTGGGTTTGTTCCCTGTTCAGGGTGAGTACAGGAGACAACTGATAGACATTTCCTTCTCTTCCTCTCTTTCTCCGTTCCTTCCCCTCTCTCTAAAATCAATAAACATATCCTCAGGTGAGGATAAAAATAAGTTGCTATTTTCATTGTTTTAGAGATGAAGGAATTTAAGGTTAAAAATAAACTGGCAGAAACCGAGTCAGGATTAGAACTGAGCTAAGCCATATTATCTCTACAGTTTACTTTCTACATTTTATCTGAAGTGGACAGTGGATGATAATGCAATTAGGTCACACATCTGAGGGTTAAATTTAAAGAAGAATCCAGAAAGGAAATATTTTGAACTTTATTCTTAATTTCCTAGATTGGAGATACTTTTAAATGTAGTTGTTATAATATATCCATGTTATATGATTTTAATCCTAGGTTATCTATGAAAAAGAAACTTTTTTGTTGTCTTTTTTAAGTTCGAAATCTTTTCCACACTGCATTTGATTGAAGTCCTAGATGTTCGATTTCAATATTTGATTTGAACTTTTAGTTATGTAGAAGTGAAAGAATTTGATTGTCAAGATAAATTTTTGAATTATTGTGGTCTTTTATTAAATTTAAAGTGGTAATGGTACAATTACAGTATATAATATTGGTGATTCCTTTGTAATGGAGTGCAAAAAAGTTTGGACCTGTTGAGTTATTGAATCCTTTTTAAAAAAAACTTATTTGCAAATTAAAATATATGATATAAAATTATATAGTAGAAAATGCAGGTGACAGGGGTGGGTAGGACAGGGGACAGTAACAGGAAAATGGGGGCAACTGTAATTAAACAGCAATAAAAAAATTAAAAAGAAAAATGTGCAGCGTTGGGAACAGACAAAAATAGCTGTAGCTAACATTATTCAGGCCTTACTGTGTGCCAAGTGCTATACTTGATCAAACATGTTACACATTTTTGTTTTGGTGAATGTTCATAGCAGTTCTGTAAGGGTCGCTTGATAGAAGAAGAAACAACTTAGCTGAGTGACGTGCCCAAAGTCACAAAGCTGGCAAGTGGTCCACTTAGTTTGAACAGGAAGTCTGACTCCCAAATGCTTTTTCCTGACTATAGTGCGAGCTCTTCATTAGCCAGTCATGGCTGTTACGGATTTACAGTGTGTAGTTTTACTTGTCAAGCCTAGTGGTTCTCTCATCTGGTCAGTATAGCAGCCTCCTCCCTGGGCCTGTTGCTTCTGCTTTGCCCCCAGAGCCTGCTATGCCAGACAGCTCCTTTATTTATTTACTTATTTATTTGTATGGGAACAATCTACAATTTTTTGGACAAAATTGTGTATATTTAAAGTGTACACCATAATTGAATATATGTATACATTGTGAAATGATTACCACAATTAATATATATATCTATCATTTTACATAGTTCCCTGCGTTTTCTTCAGAGAGATCTTTTAAAAGCATCAGTCATATCTTCTTCATGTAAATTGGAATCATGTATGGCCCCACTAAGATACAAGGTCTTAATCCCTAGAACCTATAAATGTTACTTATTTGGAAAGTGTGTTTGAGGATCTGGGTGGGCTTTGAATGCCCTGCATCCTCGTAAGAGGAGAGCAGAGGCAGGCTGAGCAGGCACAGAGGAGAAGTCCCTATGAACACGAGGCAGAGGTTGGAGGGATGTGACCACAAGTCAAAGACACCATCAACTGCCAGAAGTGGGAA